GACTTGGTCTTTCAAATGGTGTTGATCTATTTGAATGATCTGCTCGTGTTCTCAGCAACATTCCAAGATCATCTGGTGAGACTAGAGACTGTCCTGAAGAGACTAAGGGAGACTGGGCTTAAAGTAAAAGTTGAGAAATGCCACTTCCTCCAGCCTAAAGTCAGGTTTCTGGGTCATGAAGTCTCAGCCCAGGGCATTAGTGCGGATCCTGACAAAATAAGTGCGGTGACTAAGTGGCCCATCCCTAGTACTGTGAAAGAGCTGAGGTCCTTTTTAGGATTTTGTAGTTACTACAGGAGATTTATTGAGGGTTTCTCCCAAATCGCAGGGCCACTTCATGATGTTGTGAATGTATGTATTAAAGAGAGCAGTCAGTACAGGGCTAAACAGCTTTTTATTTCGGCCTGGACACCACAGTGTTTACAAGCTTTCGAGCTACTCAAGGAAAAGTTAACCAGTACCCCCACGCTAGGCTACGCTGACTTTAGCCTTCCCTTCACACTTGAGACAGATGCTAGCAGTCTAGGATTAGGTGCTGTCCTTTATCAGATACAAGGAGGGAAAAGGAAAGTTATAGCTTATGCCAGTAGGAGACTCAGAGGGGCTGAAAAGAACGATCAGAACTACAGCAGCATGAAGCTTGAACTGTTAGCATTAAAGTGGGCAGTTACAGAAAAGTTTAGGAGCTATCTTCTGGGTTCTAAGTTCACAATCATAACAGATAACAACCCCCTGTGCCACCTGTCCACAGCTAATCTAGGAGCCATTCAGCAGAGATGGGTTGCACAGCTGTCTGTATTCGCCTTTGAAATCAAGTATCGCCCTGGTCGTTGCAATACTTCCGCTGATGCCCTTTCCAGGCAGCCATCAGGTGATGAGCCAGAACCCGACAGCGAGGATGCAGAATATGATGGCTGCATAGCCATATGTAACATGTTCAGGGCAGGTACTGATTTAGACCTAGATTTAGTTGCAGCTGGACTCAAAGCTTGTGAAGTCAGGCTGCTGCATGCATCAGAAGCAAATAAGGAAGCGGTCGGTGAGACTGTGCAGGACAGAACCCCAACCATGCCTGGTTATTCTAACGCAGAGCTTCAGCACTTCCAGGCATCAGATCAGACACTAAGTGTCTTCGGAGATTTCTGGCGGAGACAGAAGAAACCTGGTTACCCACAGAAAATGGGTCTACCTAAACCTGTGCGGTCCCTGTTGAAACAGTGGGCCCGTACCAGAGAAAAGGATGGACTTCTGTACCGTGTGATTGGGGATGCTCATCTTGGGCAGTGTTATCAGCTGCTATTACCAGCTTGTCTCAAAGAACAAGTGCTCAAAAGTGTGCATGATCAAATGGGGCACCAGGGAATTGAGCGGACAATGAGTTTATTGAGGCAGAGATGTTTCTGGGGAGGAATGTATGAAGATGTGGAGCAATGGGTGAAGAAATGTCAGAGGTGCGTGTTAACAAAAATGCCACACCCCCGAGTTCAGGCACCCCAAACTCCCTTCTTGGCTACTCGCCCACTGGAAGTTGTCGCTGTTGACTACAACACACTTGAACGTGCCACAGATGGACGTGAAAACGCTCTTGTAATAACTGATGTGTTCACAAAGTTCAGTCAGGTTTTTGCCACACGAGATCAAAAGGCAGATACTACAGCCAAAATCATACTGAAAGAGTGGTTCATGAAATATGGGGTACCAGAACGTCTGCACTCAGACCAGGGCAGAAATTTTGAAAGTGCAGTGATTGCTGAGCTATGCAAACTGTATGGGGTGAAAAAGACTCGGACAACACCGCACCACCCTCAGGGTAATCCTCAATGTGAGAGATTCAACAGGACGTTACACAACCTTCTCCGTACGCTTCCCCCTGAAAAGAAGCGGCGTTGGCCCGAACATCTGTCAGAGCTGGTGTATGCTTAAAATGTTACGCCACATTCAACCACAGGGTATTCGCCCTATTACTTACTGTTTGGTGTTCACCCACACTTGCCAGTTGATGCATTGTTAGGCCAGGAGCCAGTGAAGGATGACAAACTGGACTGGTTAGCGGTGCACCAGGAGCGTCTCCAGGACGCACATGCCAGGGCCAGAGAATATGCGGAACGAAAGGCTGCAGAGAGTCATTCAGCAACAAGGAAAAGTGTTTTGCCCACCGATTGATATTGGACAGTTAGTGTACCTCCGCTACCGACCACCAGGAAGAAATAAAATTCAAGATGCCTGGGCATCAACCGTGTACAAAGTGGTTGATATCCAGGGGACAACATACACCGTAGTTCCTCTGGAAGGAGGGTCATTGAGAAGGGTGCACAGATCAAACTTAAGGCCATGTGTGGGGCCCACACCAGTACGGAAGCTAAGGCAACATGACCAAGAGGTCGTCACTGCGGATGAACATGAAGAGCCAGGGACTGAGGTTGAACATCCAGAATTCATCTTGATGGAAGAGGTTCAGTACCCAGTAAAACATCCAGTGAATGATGAACCTGAAAACCTGGATGTGATGGTTAGAGGGCCAGGAGATGACTTGGAAAACAGAGCTGAACACCTGGAGCGTGAGGATCTGGTAAGGCTGGAGGAAATTGGGGATTTTACTGAGGAGGACCGAGAGGAAGAACCAAACATTTGCCACTCACCTTCATCAGAAAACATGAGCTTGCCTTATGAAACCTCACAGGCAAGGCCTGCTCCAATTCCAAGAAAGAGGGAAAATGGGAGAGCTATTGCAGGCCAATCCACACCTGCACCACGTAGGAGTAGGAGAGAAATGGCAGGGGTACACTCGAACCCATTTAACCTAGCCAGGTCAGCATGTAACGCAGTGTCCTTCAGCCCAGATGTACTCTCCCAGCTGCTAGCTGGTATGGTTCTCTACACCACCAAATTTAGGGGACAAATGGTTGATCAGGAAGTCATCGAGGACGATGACTTGTAGCAGGGGAGAATGTAACCAAGTGAATAAATAATTATCAGTGTGACACAGCTTATTCTTAAGAGTTTTAAGTTCATGTAAGATTTGTGTTGCCTTTATTCTCTTTCTTACTGTAATATTGTGGTTACTGCATTTGGGGTTTTTGGGGACGCTGCCTCTTTAAGAGCAGCGCCATCTTAGAGCATGCATGCACGTAGGGTGACGTTACTCAGCATTCTGTCGAGCGGGAGTCTGGAGAGTTAAGAGACTGCAGACATACATGGTGGTTAAAACTCAAGGTAAATACTCTAAAATACATCAAATCTGCTATACATGTGTGTCACAAAGTGTTTAGTAGCCTAGCAAGCCAAGTTTAATGCGTGATGGCTTTGTATTCGTGATGATTTCTGTAGAATGCTGAAACGTGCAACGCCTATCTGTTTGTAAGAGCCGACCACGCTGCGAGCGGAAGGCGCGGGTTGGCGTAAGTTGTAACTGTCCTGACGGATTTCAAAGTTTTTTTTAATATTTATTTTTCATATATTTTGTACAACTTTCTTTGTTTCTGGTTGACCCAGAGGGGAGAGATTTTGCAGTGTCACAACTTGTGAGGGTGTGTGTTGGTGAGCAGGCCGCCCTCTGGAAAAGTGAGTTAATTATTTCTTCACGTTACTTGAAGTTCTAAAAATATTTACAAAGCATTTAATTCATGAATGTATGTTTATTGGGCAGCAAATGCACTTTAATGAGACAAACTTGTGACTGTGATATTACCTGTAGCCATGTATTTACTTGAATTTTGCTCTGTTTTCTGTCTGTTTAGGACAGGTCACTACTGTTGTCTATATTGGCAACGTTTGCATTTTTTTACTGTCCTGTATAGTGTGCAAGTGCACCTGTCTCTTACTAATATTGAGATCCTGACGGTCATAGACTGACTGAGTGACAGGGCATGGTAGCTTGTTTTAGGTCCGTAACCACTCTATTGAAGTTGACTTGAGATCCTTATTTTGTATTTTTATTGTTCATTCCAACTGTTAAAATTCACAACAAAACAAATTAATACTGTGTTCTACTGGGCACAGTCGGGAAATAAAACAAACCAAAATCATACTGAAAGAGTGGTTCATGAAATATGGGGTACCAGAACGTCTGCACTCAGACCAGGGCAGAAATTTTGAAAGTGCAGTGATTGCTGAGCTATGCAAACTGTATGGGGTGAAAAAGACTCGGACAACACCGCACCACCCTCAGGGTAATCCTCAATGTGAGAGATTCAACAGGACGTTACACAACCTTCTCCGTACGCTTCCCCCTGAAAAGAAGCGGCGTTGGCCCGAACATCTGTCAGAGCTGGTGTATGCTTACAATGTTACGCCACATTCAACCACAGGGTATTCGCCCTATTACTTACTGTTTGGTGTCCACCCACACTTGCCAGTTGATGCATTGTTAGGCCAGGAGCCAGTGAAGGATGACAAACTGGACTGGTTAGCGGTGCACCAGGAGCGTCTCCAGGACGCACATGCCAGGGCCAGAGAATATGCGGAACGAAAGGCTGCAGAGAGAGTCATTCAGCAACAAGGAAAAGTGTTTTGCCCACCGATTGATATTGGACAGTTAGTGTACCTCCGCTACCGACCACCAGGAAGAAATAAAATTCAAGATGCCTGGGCATCAACCGTGTATAAAGTGGTTGATATCCAGGGGACAACATACACCGTAGTTCCTCTGGAAGGAGGGTCATTGAGAAGGGTGCACAGATCAAACTTAAGGCCATGTGTGGGGCCCACACCAGTACGGAAGCCAAGGCAACATGACCAAGAGGTCGTCACTGCGGATGAACATGAAGAGCCAGGGACTGAGGTTGAACATCCAGAATTCATCTTGATGGAAGAGGTTCAGTACCCAGTAAAACATCCAGTGAATGATGAACCTGAAAACCTGGATGTGATGGTGAGCAGGCCGCCCTCTGGAAAAGTGAGTTAATTATTTCTTCACGTTACTTGAAGTTCACAAAGAGAGTTTTCTGTGTCCTGTCTTTCCATCACGACTGGGTCACATATAATTTATCACATTAACTTACTTGAACCCACAATCAATTGTAGGGTGGAGTTATGCTGCCCCCTGCTGTTTCTGGCCTCACAGTAATAATTTCCACCATCTTCATGTCTGATGTTCACAATGGTCAGCATTGGTCCATCTGCTGCTGGTGAAGCTGTGTTCTCTTTGTACCAGCCATACGTAGCTGCTGGGTTAGCATCACTGCTGCAGGTCAGATTCACTGAACCTCCCACCACTATCTCACCAGGAGGATTCACAGAGACAGAGGGGAGCCTTGGAGGATCTGCAGGAGAATAAATAGCATTTTAAAAAGTATTTGTTTTGAGAGTGGCAGTAAATATGTGCCTTAGTTATTAAAGCAACATTTTCCAAAAGGAGGTATTAAATTGAAGATGCATCTTTTTGTACGTGCAACAAATGGGCATGTTGCAAAAAGTGCTTTGTGAATCTTAAGATGTGAAAACTGGTTTGTTTCCAGCCATTGAAAGAGAAAATTGATTGTTCCACAGGCAGTTAGAGAGAACAAATAAGAGGTTCAAAGCCAATGAGATGGAGGCAATAATGATCATTATTAAACGAAAAATAATAGTGATATTAAAAACAATGTATACAATGCACCTTATAGCCTATCTAAAGAACAATAAAAAAAGAAAAAGACAATAAAAAAATCACTTTTGGCAAGAGATGTGCCCTCCATCTAGCTCAGATTGCAATAAGCGGCGCTCTTGGTCACAGGAACCATTCAGTGATAGATCCAACCCTACCAACTTACAAAGGCAAGTTTTAGAGAATGGCAGCCTGCATCAATATGTGGAAAGTGCTGTAAAGTAACATAAAGCCTTCTATAAAGCCTTCTTTATCATCCTTCTTAAAGGCTGATTTAAAATTCCTGCTGGTTGTTCAGTTGTTTTCAAACCTCATGAGGATATAACAATTAAAATGACAAGTTTGTTTTTTCTTTGAAGGTTTTATATCGATTTTAAAATACATTTTCAGACAGTAGCTATTTTGTACTCACACTCCACATTTATGTGAACAGATGAAGAGTTGATCCGTCCATATTTATTCTCAGCTCTACAATAGTAGGTGCCGCTGTCCTCAGACCTAACAGCAGGGAAGTGAAACACACCTCCATATCCTACAGGCATCATTAGGTTGTCTTTGTACCAACTGTAGGAAGGTTCTGGGTTAGCATCACTGCTGCAGGTCAGATTCACTGAACCTCCCACCACTATCTCACCAGGAGGATTCACAGAGATGGAGGGGAGCCTTGGAGGATCTGCAGGAGAATAAATAGCATTTTTAAAAGTGTTTGTTTTGAGAGTGGCAGTAAATATGTGCCTCAATTATTCTGTTTATGACAAATTTTTAAAGCAACATTTTCCAAAAGAAGGTGTTAAATTGAAGATGCATCTTTTTGCACGTGCAACAAATGGGCATGTTGCAAAAAGTGCTTTGTGAATCTTAAGATGTGAAAACTGGTTTGTTTCCAGCCATTAAAAGAGCAAATTGATTGTTCCACAGACAGTTAGAGAGAACAAGTAAGAGGTTCAAAGCCAATGAGATGGAAGCAATAATGATCATTATTAAACAAAAAATAATGGTGATATTAAAAACAATGTTTACAGTGCACCTAATACCGGTAGCATATCTAAAGCACAATGAAAAAAGAAAAAGACAATAAAAAAAAAATCACTTTTGGCAAGAGATGTGCCCTCCATCTAGCTCAGATTGCCATAAAGCGGCGCTCTTGGTCACAGGAACCATTCAGTGACAGATCCAACCCTACCAACTTACAAAGGCAAGTTTCAGAGAATAGCAGCATAAATCATTATGTGGAAAGTGCTGTAAAGTAACAAAAATTATTCCATAAAGCTTATATTTGACTAATATTTTAGTGAAAAGTTACAGTGTTGCTTTAAAGTTCTTTATTGCATATTTGATGCTATTCAGAATAAATGTTGAAACAAATCTTATCTTTATAAAAGTTCTTAAAGGCTGATTTAAAATTCCTGCTGGTTGTTCAGTTGTTTTCAAACCTCATGAGGATATAACAGTTAAAATGACAAGTTTGGTTTTTCTTTGAAGGTTTTATATCGATTTTAAAATACATTTTCAGACAGTAGCTATTTTGTACTCACACTCCACATTTATGTGAACAGATGAAGAGTTGATCCGTCCATATTTATTCTCAGCTCTACAATAGTAGTGGCCGCTGTCCTCAGACCTAACAGCTGGGAAGTGAAACACACGTCCATATCCTACAGGCATCATTAGGTTGTCTTTGTACCAACTGTAATAAGGTTCTGGGTTAGCATCACTGCTGCAGGTCAGAGTCACTGAACCTCCCACCACTATCTCACCAGGAGGATTCACAGAGGCAGAGGGGAACCTTGGAGGATCTGCAGGAGAATAAATCACATTTAGACAACTTTTATCAAACAGACATGCTTGAAAATGTTTGCAAGATAATTGGCCATGTTTATGAACCTCAAATGATCTGTTTGTGACACATTTTCAGAACCCAGACAACTAGAACTTCTATACCAGAGGAAGTAAATTATAATCATTGTTGTTTCAACACATTAAGTAAATCACCAAAAGTATCTGACCTATGAACTAGAAAGGAGATGTCAAGCTTGAATAAGTCAAAAGAGTATGACTGAGTGACCAACTGATATTCTTAGTTAGACTGATGCTCAATGTAAAGAAATATCATTAAACCAGCTGTATTACTTACATTTCACATCAACATTTAGGTTAGTAGATCTTCTGTTTCCCAGCTGGTTCTCAGCTTCACAGTAGTATTCACCAGAGTCAGACGATTGGATGTTATTCAGGAGAAACTCTGAACCTCGACTGAGAGGTTGAAGGGTTGAAGTTTTAGTCTTCTTGTACCAAGTGTAGTTTGCTGGTGGATTAGCTTCACTGCTGCACCTCAGAGTCACTGAGCTGCCTTCAAATATGTCAGCAGAGGGATCAGCTGAGAGAGAAGGAGAAACTGGAGCATCTGGAGGAGATGGAAACAAAATGAAAGAAAACCTAAAAATCTCAGAAGAGACACTAATTAGTGATTCAGCTGTTTTGGATGAAGATGTTGAAATAAACTCACATAATAAAGGAGCAGGGAAATCCTCATGTCCTTTAACAGCGCAGGATATGCTGTTTAGATAGATACTTTTGATTGAAATTGTAGATTTATCAGAGTCGATCTTCTGTCTGTTTATGTACCAAACATATGTAGGTTGGGAGGGTAAAAGACAAAAGCTGGAACACCCCACTGTTTTATAGGAAGATAAGGATCCGCTTTGGACAGAAACAGTTAAATGTGGGTCTGTGGGGAGAAAATTAGAATTTTTGATAAACACCACAATGATATCTATTATATTATTGTTTAATATTTAATAATGCAAACCTGTGACAGATAATCGGATTCCTGGTTCACCAGTATAGCCTCCAGCTGATAGGTTAGTAATAAACCTAAACTTGTAAAAAGCTGAGTCACTTTCTTTCAGGTCTGTAATTCTCAAAGTGCATCTCTTCTTCCCCATAGTCTCATCACAGCTGTTTGTCACACGCCCTTTATACTCCTTCTGTGTCTCCAAACTGACAGGATCATTTCCAGTAAACCAAAATTTTTCCGTCACTTTGGTTATATCTTTACTATATGGGTGTCTATACTCGCATTTCATTTCCACCATTGATCCTTTTAAAGGAATAGTACACCCAAAACATGATTAGCCTTCATTTTCTACTCACCTCCATGCTGAACAACACTCTGGAGTACTTTTTTGATATCTCAAATGCATCTGGAGATCTGGGAGGCTTCTTGCTGTCTGCTGACATTCAAATAATGGAGGTCCATGGCGCCCGAGACAGAAAGGTCCATAAAAGTCCACAAAAACGTGTCAATATTCCTCCATACTGCTCGTCCAATGTAATCCAAGTGTCCTGAGTGGGTAGCATCCAGAATTTACTCGAAACGAAGTCATTTAGAATGTTTTTAGAGCATAAACAGTAGTGTATAGGATTTCCTAATAGCGCCCCCATGCGCGCTCACGATTCTACGGAAGCCGGCAGACCAAACCGGAAGAAAGTGCGCATTCAGCGTCTGGTCTGCCGATAATGCAAGCGTAGAAGAAGAAATGTGCTGTTTACCTGTGCAAAGAAAGAAACAACGAAAGAAAAATGTCTGAGGACTTCAGTGTTGAGGAAGAGCATGAGTTCTTTGCCGAGCTGAATGCGCTGGTTTGGTCTGCCGGCTTCCGTAGAATCGTGAGCGCGCATGGGGGCGCTATTAGGAAATCCTATACACTACTGTTTATGCTCTAAAAACATTCTAAATGACTTCGTTTCGAGTAAATTCTGGATGCTACCCACTCAGGACACTTGGATTACATTGGACGAGCAGTATGGAGGAATATTGACACGTTTTTTGTGGACTTGTATGTACCTTTCTGCCTCGGGCGCCATAGACCTCCATTATTTGAATGTCAGCAGACAGCAAGAAGCCTCCCAGATCTCCAGATGCATTTGAGATATCAAAAAAGTACTCCAGAGTGTTGTTCAGCATGGAGGTGAGTAGAAAATGAAGGCTAATCATGTTTTGGGTGTACTATTCCTTTAAGGCACAGATACCCCCCTGAGAAGGGCTGTAAGTCACTCCCCAGTCATTATTACTCTGAACCTCTGTAACACAGAAAACAACAGAAACATATTGAGGGAAATTAAACAGTATTGTCTATTTTACCATGATTCTCCAGAAAGAAACAAAAAGGGGACCAATGTCACAATCTGTACATTTTGTTTTTTTGCTGTATTTCTGTAGTTCCTGTTAAATCAAGTAAATTACTTATGTAATGATCTTTCAACTCCCACAGCAGAGAAACGATTTCTTTAACATTTCAATCTCACAAACAGGAGTAAAGGATGTTTGTTTTTTAGTTACTAAAAATAGACTCAGATTTAAATACCTCAATATTAAAACCACAGGGTCTGATGTGTTTGGTTCCTTAGCATGAGGCAGTTTACTGCATAAATATATTAAATCATAATTCAGTTTTTATATAGTTTTCATGATGTAAATCTGTAATGATCACTATGAACAGAAATGCTCAGTTTTCTGTAAAAATAAAGATTTGATGTTAAAAATATATTTTATTGCACAATCCAAAAACATCAGGAAAAAAATTTATTTTAAGTTTTATTCAGACGCATATAAAAAAATAAAGACACATTGTGTTTTCATAAATAATACTGTAGCTGAAAGGCTTAGGCTGAAGCAAGAACTTATTACTGCCTGCCTCCATACAATAAAGCAACACTTCACTTAACAATAATGAAGAACTTAGTAATAATACGAGAAAATATACTTCAGCTAAAATCATAATTTTCATTTATAATGTCCATCCAATTATAGTATATTTCATGCTGCCCACTATGTTGTAAGCGAGTATCTACCGTTTACGATCGCTCCCATTTTATTAAGATACCAGTAAAGTTTGACTGAGAAATATTTAATTGTGAGAAAATTTAGATTTTATTTGTAGTTTAAACCTGCATAAAGTTGCAGTAAAACAAGGATGCATACAAGAAAAATGTCAAACTTTCAGTAAAATAAACTAATGTTATGAAATGATTTCATTTGGAACAATGCAGGCTAATGAAGTTAGCCTGATCTACGAATCTTAACTGTGAGAACAAAGGTGTGATTTACCATCAGTGTCCTAAATGGTACAATAAAGTATATTTATTTAGAGAACAAAACTGATCCTGTTTTATCTTTTAGTAAATAAAATATTTGCAAAACAGCAGATACTTTATACAGTTATAATTGTTTCATAATGTTTGGCAAAATAGGCCTGAAATCAGAATGACTTCCTAACGTTTACTTGTTTGGGCTATTTAATATTACTCTACAACTCACACACTGGTGCTTTATAGTGCCTTAAAATAGAAAGTAGAAACATTACCTGCACAGAGGAAGAAAATAACCAAAAGACTCGCTGTTTCAGAAAAATCCATTGCAACTTCTCTTTTAGTCACATCAGTAGGTTAATAAAATACAGTTGATGCTGCTTCCTGGGAGAGGTTAGAACTTTCTGCAAGTTTCAGTAGCTGGGCAGATCTTATAGCAGACAAGCTATGGTTGTTTCCTCTTTACCTTATTGGCATGCATGAACTCTGGGGTGTATTTTTCTGTTGCACTGACTTGAGTTTGCAGTGAGACTGGTGTGCAGTGTTTAAGGCCCAGTTATCACATTCCACCCTACGTCTCACTATGAAGTGTGCAGGTTACACTCATGCAATAATTAGAGTTGGAACCGTTCAGGTTAGTCGGTACTTGCCAAACCTGTAAGTGACTAATTTAGATGATTGACAGAAAAAATATATGTTGTCAATTGTTTCTTCTTTAGTTTTACAAAATTCACCTGTATCTCCAAATGAGAATAATTTCCAAAGATTACAGAGACTGATTTTAAACTCTGGCTCCAGTTTCTCTTAGCAGCTTCATCTCACACCCAACCTGTAACACATGAAGACATCCGCCCTTTAGGAGGTGATAAAACTGACTACTGATTAGCCAGTTTAGTTTCTCAGAAAAACACGACTTTTGCTTACCATCTTCCCTTTTAGGGATGATTCAACTGATCTGTTCTGCACCAAGTAGTTTGGACCTGTACTAAAATATCCACCCTGTCATCTCTGCTCCTTGTTCTTTAGATGGTTCTAACTGGGCTACAGTCTGCCAGTGTAAGATTCTCATGGTATGATTGTTTATCAAGTCAGTGTCATGATGTAACTTTGTCTGCCGGAGTATTATTACTAAAAACCCAAACAAACCCCACTTAGTTCTATACTTTCCTCTTCTTAACGCTTATCTTTAGGTCTTCATGAAAATCAAATAGGGCTGCATGGTGGAGACATTTGTAGCACTGATGCCTTGCAGTAAGATTCTTTTGGGTGCATGCATGGGTTCTCTCCAAGTACTCTGGCTTCCTCCCACAGTCCAAAAACATAACCGTTAGGTTCATTGGCTTCTCTAAGTTCTGCTTAGCTGTGAGAGTGTGTGTGCATGGTGTGTCTCTGTGTTGCCCTGCAACAGACTGGCGACCAGTCCAGGATAGACCCTGCCTCTCACTGGTAGACCCTGGTAAACTCAATCAGTCAGAACAGAAAGAGACTGAACAAATTAGTGAGAAAGGCCGTTTCTGTCCTAGGCTGTACTTTGGACTCAGTGGAGGAAGTGGCTGAGAAGAGGGTGCTGTCCAAGCTTATATCCATCATGGAGAACATCTTCCACCCTTTGCACCAAAGTGTAGAGGAGCTGAGCAGCTCCTTTAAAAAGGAGCGCTACCGCAGGTCATTCATCCCTGCTGCAACCAGACTCTACAATGCAACAATACAATGGCTATAATGTGTAATTACTACTTAATACCCTTTGCAATAACCTGTTTCTTCAGAAGCCCTGAAAGTTGTGATGGATAATTATCTACAGGTAGGTGAACATAGAACTACTTTAAGTAAATGTTAACTGGGAATAAGACTACAACATAAGGCATTCTGGGTAAAAGCCGACGAAACAACTGTGCTTTACAAGCAGTAGCAGGAGAGATGGCTTGTGGTCAGACATGAAGTAAATATACATATCTACTTTGATTAGGGCTTTCACTTCCTCTTTACTAATTATCCATCACAAAACATTATATCTAAGATACAACTATAAACATCAAGCCTCCATATCAGGCGGTATACAGAGAGCTCTAACTCTGACCTGCATCTGATGTGAGCCTCTGCTTCTCTAAAACCACTGCTGTGAATTCAACAGCAGCCCTGTTTTTTGTTTTTTAAACAGACTCCAAATTAAGTATTTTAAAGTCTAATTTCTTGTCATATATACAGTATAAGTTAAATTCTTTTAGGGTCAAACAGATGTTTTCAAAGCAAAATATAAGTTCATGCACATCAAGGTATTTCAAAAAAGTAAAATGAGTTGGTGAAAGAAAACATTTTTTTCCCCTCTCTTGCAGCGCTTGAGAGAAAAAAAATTACTTAGAAATTTCAACCAGGGTTTATTTTTTCTGGTCTTGTGTTTGTGGAAAAAAAAAGGCTTAGAAATCTACCCAAGGTTTTCTTTTTCCTCATTGTGTTTGTGAACTAAAGACTTATAGGTTTGAATCATTTTTGTGTGTGTGTGTTATGCTGTGTATGGTATGCCC